TTGTTTGGTAAATTGGCCAGAGCCAGAGGTCACTGACCTATTAGTGAACAAAAATCATCATGACAAATAAAAATCCCTTTTATCGTTTTCATACTTTATACTGTGCCGGATTTAGTACTTTCTTTGTCTTATTCATATTTAGAGAGAAGAAAACAAAATTGTGGAAACTTCATTAAGTCTCGTTTTATTTTTCATGTCAAAAGTAGGGCTGTGTTAAAAAAGAAAAAAAAAAAGATTCGTTTGGAACATGAAAATTTGGCAAACAGTGATTTTTGATTGGTGCCAAAATATGGCGCAGAATTCAAATAATCTGCTTTTTTTTCTTTTAATTTCTGCCTCCAAGATTTAAAAAAAAATTAACCAACCATACTGTTATGTAGTATATAAAATACATTTTCGTTACAGATAAATTATATACCTAATTTCGATTAAGTGCAAGAAGTCCATTGAAACTTACTGACGTAAAAAACCTTTACACAAAAAACACAGTGTGTGCGTGTAATTTAAACTGGAAATTTAAAGTTTTGCATAATTTTGCCATTTACTACAGAAAAGAAAGTGTCAAGGACGGAAAATAATTTTGACTTACTTTGAAGGCTGTATATCACTTCTGCAATGTAATTCCAAAAAACAATTTCGAGTTTTTTTTGTCGTCCATTTTTTCAGAAAGTAACGTCATAATTTGTAAACCTATAAAACAATTGTGTCCTCAATTTCTTGATATTTGCTGCCAACAGGTCCTAAAAGAATAATTATCTTTACTTGCTAACATTTTGGACGAATTTTTACCTCTATATGGGGTGTCCTCAAATCAATCACCCAGTGAATGTGTAGTCTCTTTTCAATTTCGCAATTTAATAAAGGTAGGTATTGAATTTGTTCATTTTGTTAAACCGATCATACAGTAAGTGGCATCATCTAGACAGCATATGATTTGGGGACACCCTGTACACAAGTAAAAATTCGTCCAAAATGTTAGCAAGTAGAAATAATTATTCTTCTAGCACTTGTTGATGGCAGCAAATATCAGGAAATTGAAGAAACAATTGTTTTATACGTTTAAAAATTCTTCCTGAAAAAAAAAAAAATAAATGACAAAAAAAAACCGAAATTGTTTTTTGGAATTACATTGCAGAAGTGATATCCAGCCTTCAATGTACTAAAGCAAAATTTATTTTCCGTCATTGTCGCTTTCTCTTCTGTAGTAAATGGAAAAATTATGCAAAACTTGAAATTTCAAGTTTAAAGCATCCTTGCACACCCTGTGTGTTTTGTGTTAAGCCTTTTTACATCAGTTAGCAGGGCCGCCGCTACCATGTGTGCAAAGTGTGCACCGCACACGGGCGGCCATAAATAGCGGCAGCCAAAGCAGACCCCACTGATAATACTTGTTTTTTTATACAACGGAAAAAAATTAATTTAAATTAAATAATAATGATTCTGTAAACTCCAATATTTATATGACAATAATTATTTTGTAAGCTTAGTGTAGTCTACATAGAAAATACTGGAATGCATGCATTTTATTTAGGTAGGTATCCCTCTTTTTTCATTCTAATCGAAACAGAAATATTATTGTATGTACATATAGTATCTAGCTTTGATACTGATACTGCCGACTTTGCTGAATGTTGGATAGGTTAGGTACTTTAAATTTTTGAGTAAGTATTTAACTATTTACTGATTATTGTTGATATATTATATGAAAAAGTAACTATGCAACTTTTATAAAAAAAATTAGTATCTAGCAGTGGCGGCTCGTCAGGGAAGGCACTAAAAGATTTTCCAAATGTTTTCTTGAAAGCTTAAAATAAACGTTTTTGGGCATGGCACCCGGAAGAAAATAAGCAGAATGTACCATTATATAGTCAATAGTGCGATTTTCCCTGCTCTGATTGGTCGAGACCAAACACTGGTACGTTTTGCCAAAAGTGACTAAAACGCGGTACATTTTGCCATGGCATCTTCCGCAAAGCTCGGTCGGATCAAACGCAGGTACGTTTTGCCAAACTTCACTTAAACGTGGTGCATTATGACTTAGACCGAATAGCAACCCTTTCACGTGCCCTAATGAAAATCCTATACCTACCTGCACTGCAATTGATATAAGGGTATTGGGTATTATTATACATATGTAATGGAGATAATAAATGTCTGTATATTTGAGGTGAATTGTTAGCATTACCACCTTGCATTTTTTGGGATTACACCTCCATGGATTTTATTTTTTTTTTCTGGTGAAAATTGAGGTGTAATCCCAAAAAATGCAAGGTAATGATATGTAATAAAGATATGTTGTAAATATAATAAAATGGGATAGATGGCTGTTGGCGTACCTATACAAATAGAGCTATTTTGAGATTTTTGTAAATATACACGGTGGTTTTTATAAGCAAAGTCCGATATTGAGGTTCACGTAAGAGCTTTTGATAAATGTGATTGTTGGTGTTTTCGGTATTTTATAAATTTTAACACTATTGCATCCTGTAACTTGTATCTTGTAAAAGAGGCATTTGTGGAATATAGGTTATCTTTTTTTTTTAGAACAGCTGAAAGAATAATCCTATTTAATGTTAGATCGTGATTTCAGAACCATAATAAATTAATAATCATCTACCTACTTATTTTAGAAAAGTTTGGATATATTAAAAATTGATCATGCCATAATGCACCACGTTTAGGTGAAGTTTGGCAAAACGTACCTACGTTTGATCCGACCGAGCTTTGCGGAAGATGCTATGGCAAAATGTACCGCGTTTTAGTCACTTTTGGCAAAACGTACCAGTGTTTGGTCTCGACCAATCAGAGCAGGGAAAATCGCACTATTAACTATATAAAGGTACATTCTGCCTATTTGCCACCCGGAAAAATTTTCGGCCTCCGGCGGCCCTGTGTAAAGCACGGACGATACCACATAATGGAAATTAATATCGATAAGACCCAAGCTGTCCTGATCTCCCGCAAACGTAACAGACATGTTGACAACCTGATACAGGACGATTCAGGAATAACGTGGACCAATCAAATTAAATACTTAGGACTAATACTGGACAACAAACTTTCTTGGACTCCCCACATTAATCATAAATTAAATAAATGTAACAGATTAGCCGGATTGCTTCACCCACTACTCAACTAGAACAGTAAACCGAATCTCAAAAAAAAACTGTTACTAGACAAACAACCTTCATTACTTTATATGGTGACTATGGTGTACCAGTGTTCTCACAAACATCACGGCAAAATTAAAAAAAAATTGTAGGTAAAAACTTTTTTGTGCAACCGTCCGCGAAATGAGTTTTTGCGGCCGCCAAACCTGATGTGCAAAATGTGTCAAATCCATACAATTTTTCTGTAACTTCACATAATTTTTATAGTTGCACAAAACATAGTGTGTATACCATGACCGCGAAACTTTTTAGCGTCCTCGAGATTATCTTGCCTCGGCGATAACTTTTCTCTACGTACGTTAAAAAGACATTTCGCGGCGTTGGTATACAAATAACTAATTCGACGATAACTTTACTATCAACCCTGACAGAAATCTAAAGGCTTCACTTTTTTTTTTAAGAATAAAATCCCTTTTCCTCCTTTCCTTTCCTATCCTATCCTCTATCCTATCCCCATTCCCCTCTCTCTCCCTGAACAACAAGTTAACTTTAAACACAACATAAGTAGCAATTGGACTCATTCATTACAGCGTAAGAGTGCTTCACACTAACGCTACAATAAACTTATAAGAAGAAGAAGGAGAAGAAACTTTCTAATTTAATTTTTTTTTCTTGCATCACCCTGTAAGGAGATATCCTCCGATATCACAATAAGTGGACACCCTGTCTATGGATGGTTTCGACTAACATCAAAAACAAAATTAGACGAACTTTCATCTCACAAAATTTAGAATGTGTTTTGATAATGTTGTCCTAGAATAAATATAAATTTTGAATAAAATTAAATAGGTATGTTGTCAAATTTTCTATTATTGCAGTATTTAAAACTAAAAAACGCGCAGTTTAACAATAATAATTGCTTTCATGAGTTAATCTCAGTCTAATTATCTAAAACATAAATGTATAGGTACCTAACTAATATGCCTATCAATTTGACTTAGGAACAATCCAGGTACAGACATAAGTACTTGCTATTTTAGTGAAATTCCCCAGTAGCACACAATGTTGGTCCCATGTTGCGGATACATTGGACCAATATTGTATGTTGGCCTAATATTGGCATTTTCCAGCCAACATTGGACATTTATTGGCAATACAACTTCTTTCATCATTAAAATAATATATTTATCCAAGAATGGGCCAATATGCACAAACAATATTTTTATCGGCAACATATAGCCAAGATTGGTTACATATTGGCAATACATATTTTTCCACATTGTAATATTATATTTACCATAGTAATGTACCCATTAATGGACCAATATGCACAGATAATGTTTTTATTTGCATTATCGAGCCGATATTGGATATATAATGGCAAAACAAATTTTTCTAATATAACAGTGATATATTTATCCATTAGCCCAATATGGATTCTATATTGGTAAAATATTGTGTATGGGTCTAATATTGGCAATTTGTAGCCAATGTTGGTAATATATAGGAGATTAACCTTTTGCCTACATTATTAATCCATATTTGGCAATAACTTTTATTTATGTTTATATTTAATATTTATCCAATATTGGTGATATATAGGAGATGTACATTTTCCATATCAATCAGGACTACCGAGAGAGGGCACCACGCGCTACTGATCGCCTCGATCTTTCCTAGGGTTTGAGTTTCCTTCAAACCTGTTTCTTTAAGTTGATGTGCTTCGCTAACAAGCACGAAATCGGAAACCGTTCTAGTCTGCGGATGTTGGAGCTTTGGTTAAATACATGTGTTTTTCCAAAGAAATATTGTAAATATATTTAGGAAATATTGTAAATATTTCTAGGAGAAATATCACATATTTATTAATTGGTAATATTGGAGAAATATTTATATTCAATATCGGATTCATATAAGAAGTATACATTGTGTCAATCTGAAAAACAAATATTGGTTATACATATTTCTAAAAGCAATATTACATATTTATTAATTCGCAATATTTGGACAATATTTTTCTTCATTATCGGATTCATATTTAAAATATATATTGGGCAAAAAAAAAAATCTGTCGTTTCCATCCTTGGGCCAATATGTAAATATATAATATTTTACCAATATTGTTGTGCTACTGGGGTTGTTTGCTCCACAGAACTTTGCTATGAAAGAATTAAATATAAAATAGGTGCTTGTAAGAAGAATTCATCCAACGGATTGAAAACGCAAAAGTCATCCTACCTAGAACATGATGTGGTTGATTTGAAAAGTTGGAATAGTTAACAAATGAATCAGAAATTGAAATTAATAATAACAATGAAGACAATTAGTTAGGCTCAATGTGTGCATTTGCATGCTGCGTACGCACATGTTTGTCTCTGTCACCTTTTTGTCTAAAATATTTTTCGCAAATATTGCACGGATAAGGTCTTTCATCAGCGTGGATCCGTTTGTGGTTATTCAGAGCATCCGCTCTAAGGAATTTTTTACCACATGCCTGTAATTGAAATAAGTTATTAGGGCAATTATACAGCGTGTCCGTTTTAAGTGATACCACTATTGCTATCTCCGAAACGGTAAGAGATACGAGGTCGGTTAAATTCGTTGAAAGACAAAAGTGGCAGATTTTAGTGACCATTGAAGGTAAGTTCCTAGGATTGCCAAATTTTTGTTCGTTTCCGAGATATAAGGGGAAATGTGAACACAACTAAAAGCCTTGTAAAGACTCAATGTGTGAAGATAACAAGCCATTTTGTAGAGAAGAAGAAATCTTGAAACATTTGTACTGAACAATTTTTTAGCAACCTTAAGAACTTACCTTCAATAGATACTAAAATCTGTCATTTTTGTCTAATTTAACCGACCTCGACCTTCTTACCATTTCGGAGATAGCAATAGTTGTATTAACAACGGTATTACTTAAAACGGACATTCTGTATTACTTCTTAATTTTCACTAAAACTTCCGGTTAGAAAAATATACTTACATCACAAATATACCGTCTATCATTGGTGTGAATCATTCGATGTTGGTAATAGACAGATCCAGTTAGAAAACGTTTATTGCACACGTTACATTTGAAAGGTCTTTCCCTTGTGTGCACTTTACAAATATGATCCTTTAGATCGGATCTTATGGTGTAACGGGCTTCACAACCCTCGTGAGGGCAAGCGAACGGCTTGATCCCTAAAATAATACAATACAATTTATTTCAATTATTTCTATAATGTATAATATCATTGTGTACAGAGTGACCCGTCCGTTTATTTTGTTTTCTCTCGTCTTAATTTTTTCAATGGCACAATTGGCACACCTTGTATATTAAATGTGGGATGAAAAGTACTCTTTAAAACAAACTTTTTTTGTATAAAACAATATGCAAGGTGTTCAAAATTAAGTCAGTAGTTACTATTGCCAACTTGCTTATTATAAGATTTACAAAATAGGTTAAATTGACAAACCAGTACGACTAGTAGATTGAGTTATTATTATTATAAAAAAAAATAGCATGAGACCAAGAAGGGATTTTCGCGTTTCTCCCTATAACTAATAAAGATAAACCGAGAAATAAACATATCAAACTGTATATCAATGAAATTAGGTTGAAGGGGACTAATAAATAAGCGCACAGTGTACAGAATGTCCCAAATTCGAGGGCCAACATAGGGATATCTATAACCGTTAGGGATACGAGTGTGGTTAAATTAGACAAAATTTGCGCATTTTCAAGCTTAACAAAATGCCGTTTGAAAATTTGATAAATTCCGAATAGTTCCGAAAATATTCGAAATAAACCGAAATTTTGCCAAAGCGTTTTTATTTTTTCCTAAATTTATTTGAAGAGATATCCTGCTACTTTTTCTCTTCTACAAGTTGCTACCATCAAATTTAAAATCTGACGTTTCGTCTTTGGACCACCATCATCAGCTACATTTTTTTGAATCTGGACCCCTATTTTTTATTTTCGATTTTATAACCTTCTGATGTCCCAAAACCTATGACGTATTGCATTTATTCGAAAAAATTTTTTTTTTTTTACTTTTTAGTAATTTCTTACCAAAATTCCCTTCTGTGTCTATCTCTAACACATTAAGGTCTCATGGAAAGTGCAAAATAATATAATTTTCTCAAATAAATGCAATACGTCATTGGTTTTGGGACATCAGAAGCTTATAAAATCCATAATAAAAAATAAGGGTCCGTATTAAAAAAAATTAAGCTGATGATGGTGATCCAAAGACGAAATGTCAGATTTTAAATTTGATAATAGCATCTTGTTATGGAGAAAAAGTGGCAATGATGAAGAAACATTTATTTTGGGATATCTCTTCAAATAAGCTTAGAAAAAATTAAAAAGGCTTTTGTAAAACTCCGGTTTCTTATTCCAAATATTTCCGGAGCTATTCGGAATTTTTAAATTTTCAAAAAGCTATTTTATTAACCATAAAATTGCGCAACTTTTGTCTAATTTAACCACCCTCGTATCTCTAACGGTTACTGATGATATCCCCATGTTGGCCCTCGAATTTTACATGATGGTCTTCTATTTAAAGAAATATAACTTCGCTCTGCTACACTTTTTTGACGCACCGTAAATGCAAGGAGAATACACACTCTAGAGTGCTCATCGGCCTCATTTTTGGTAATCGCCGCCCAACTGGTATTTTGGCCTGGGAGGAAGGGGGGGATTTGTTACACACAGGCTCTGTGAGGATAGGCCATCCTGTAGTAGTAGCGTGTATCATACTTGCCCTAAATGCTTAAAAGCGCCCTACTAGTCTTAGATAGCGCCATGATCAAATTTTGACCGTCGTACTACTTCTATTTTGCCTACAGGCACAAAACTTGGATTGATTTTCTTTGCTTTCCTAGCCATACAGATGAGACCTGATAGGTCGAAACGCGTCTATGGATGGAATAGCGAAGAAAATTAATCCAATTTTTTTTTTTTCTCATCAGTGGATAATAGGAGAAAACTTGTTTTCCCTATTCTGGGTTTTCCCAACGAACTGATTTTTGGTCGGCCTATTAGATGGTCATCACTAAAATACAGCAAAAATTGCTGTTTAGTGTTGAATCCTAGTCTTAGATGGCGCCACGATCAAATTTCGACCGTCGCACTAAATTTTAATTCAACTGTTTGGAAACTTTTTTTGCAACTTTAACAGGCTGTAAAACCTAAACGGTTAATTTTAAAGGAAAATCGATCTGACATTTTTGTCTTAGATTTTTATGAACTATCATTTCACAGCAACTTTGAATTTAATCCATGATCAAAAATTCCGTTCAAACATTTAATCTCCGGTTAAATTCAAAGTTGGAGTCAAATGATAGTTTATGAAAATCCAAGATAAGAATGTAAGATTGGTTTTCCTCGAAAATTAACCGTTTAGGTTTTACAACCAGTCAAGTGGCAAAAAAGTCAATTTTCAACTGTCAATATTTCCAAAATAGTTGAACTCAGGGATTAAAATTTAGTACTAAAATGTATGGAATTATGGAATTAAAAACTCTCTTAAATGATGTAACACTTGACCCCCCTTCCCATTAAAGATTTTCTAGGGGGTGCCTCTGGGGGTTGGGGGGTTGAAAGGGGGAGGTGAATTTTGCATAAAAACTCATCCCCTCTCAAATTATAGTTGACGCGTTTCAGGAATTTTTTCGATAATTTTTCAACTCCGAGATAATAGGGGTGGTAAGTTTTAAATACCTTTCAACTGAAAGTTTAAGTAAGACGCACATGACCGGGCCGTGTCCTGTGTCAGGACCGAGCCTCGGATGAGAAACGCCCTTCGCCCTTGCTCCGGCCCGGTCCTCTAGAGACCACACATAACCGAGGCTCGTCATTGTTTTGGTCGTTTTCTTTGTAGTTGATAGTCTATAATAAAAAAAATTACACAAAAATCGTCGTCCGTAACGTGAAAAATTAAACTAAACAAATTCCGTCGAATTTAATCGAGATTAGGTTGTTATATCGAGTTGTCACTGCAAATCGCTGCTGAGCCATGGGTTCAATGGCATTCGGTGGCATGGTATTCCGGATTAATCGATCTGTAATTTGCGCAAATATCAGCATAGAACAGAAATATAAGGTCGATTGGCTAAATAAAATTAGATTGTCCCTCATTACTGCCAGGCAGTATTTGAAATTTCCAATAACTCTCTATAAATATAACAATCCACAGTATATTTTTTTAAACTAAAACCAAGGCAAATTTTCATTTCCATATAATTCAACATTTCAACAAAAACCTTTTAAGGTGCTGATAATAGAGACATTTACCTTATACATTTATAGTTCGAGTGCTGGCAGTAAAAACTACCTCATAGTTACCAAAGGTTTGAATTGCCAAGTCGGTACTACCTACCTCACATGATGATTTCAAAACCTCCCGTCTGCCGGGCGTAAGTATGGTCGCTTTATTTGCCAGAAACGCAAAAAATCTTAATTTTTCAGCACTTTTTTCAGTTTTTCGCTTATATCTCAAAAACTATACGTTTTTTGAAGATGAGCATTCCCTACAGATTTGCATAAAATTTCCTACAAAAGACACTAGTCATTTTTGATTTATGATAAGCTGTCTTTGCGCTACAGCTCAGTGAAAAACAATGTTTTTTTTTTGTATTTTCACGTCTAAAACACCCACTTTCATCCCCTACAACCCAAGAAATATAATATGTTAATAGACTTATATCACGTGTGAGTACATTATGTATATCATTGAAAAAATGTCTGTCATATTTAATTTTCTCACAATGAAAATCTTTGTGTGTGTTTACTTAGTTAGATGGCAAGCTATGTTTAATGAAAACATTCATATTATATTTCTTGGGTTGCAAATCTAAAGGTTGCAGTGAATGAAAGAGGGTATTTCAGACGTTTTTGCGGAAATAGAAAAAAGACATTGGCTCATATAAATAAGACAGAAGCAAAATTATTTTACTGAAGTTTTTTGAGATAAACATATTCAGCTTCAATACAGCAAAAAGAGACGGAGGTAGAGTGAAAGCATTTGCTACACTTTTTTTTCACTAAGCACTAGCGCGAAGACCGCTTATCATAAAAAAAAAAGATAACTGGTGCATTTTGTAGGAAATTTTATTTACTTTAAAGTGAAGAATGCTCATTTTCAAAAAACGTATAGTTTTTGAGATATAAGCGAAAAACTGAAAAAATTGCTGAAAAATTCAGATTTTTTGCGTTTTTGTCTAATAAAACGACCACTTATGCCCGACAGACGCATGGTTTTGAAATCACCATGTGAGGAAGTACCGACATGTCGATTCAAATCTTTGGTAACTATGAGCTAGTTGTTTTTAATGCCAGCTCAGTAGATATAGTTTGAGAGTTCACCATCCTCCGACGCCTCCATGACGCCTGCGCATGCGCCAACCAGTGCGTCGCGACGCCGTGACGTCATCAGTCAGCTGTCATCTGTCAGTCAGCTGTCAATATCAGCTGTCAATGTTACCTGTCAATGTCACCTGTCAATGTCAGTCACCTGTCAATGTCAGTCACCTGTCAATGTCAGTAAGCTGTCAATGTCATCTGTCAATGTCATCTAACCCAATCTACCTGAACTACTCCAACTTACCCGCTCTCTGCGCCATCTATAAACCCCGTATAACATTACTGTGTATTTTCTATATTTCTACATGTATTTATACAGATGAAAAAAAATACGTGAACATGCATGAAGAAATATAAAGAAACAGATGGGCTTAAGAAATACTAACCTCAAACAATTTTTTATTTAAAAACATACATTTTTTAAGACTCAACTATTTCAAAAAGCGATGTTTTGGTCGCATGGGCGTCGTTTGGGGGGGGCAAGGGGGGGCACTTGCCCCCCCCTAGAAATAGTCTTTTGAACAAGAAAGCAGTAAAAGAGAGTTCGTATTGCATTTCTCCATTTTTTCAAAATTTGTTAGGTACAGTAGACTCGTCGTAGACTCGTGCTAGTGTGAACACACGCTTCTGTGAACCTCCCAGTAGTATGAACAGCTAGAATGAATGCATTATACATATTCTGTAGAGTGAACTGAATATCGGTAGTATAAACAATGTATTTGACTACGAATTTAACCGTTTTCTGCCTACTTGTTGTTTTTATCGATTGTTTCCATCCAATCATGGGGTTCCTCGAAGGTTTTGGGACAAGGAATGCACAGATATGTTGAGTTACTGCATTCACTCTAATGTCGAATACGCAAGTGGCAGCGCTTCAAGAGCACGTTCAAAATTCTATA